ATGGTTCAGCAAGACTGCCCTGTTAGTAGCAGTCACCCTTGCTTGTGAAGTTATGGAGACAGTCCCACGTAAATCCGAATGGCCCAATCATTTGATCATGTCTATTTCTATTACACATGGCCAGACATATGATGAGAAATGTTCTGGCTGACATAACTTCTACTTACAACTGTCCTAGAAAATGAAATAAATTGTTACAGCATTGATTTCCCAGCAAAGTCAAAATTATGCAAGAAGGAAAGATACTTGCACTTATATTCCTCTGTTCTCTGATAGATCTTTCTCTCCTTCCTTCTCTCTCCATTCACCTTTGGTCTTATACAGATTAAATTCGTTCGACAATTGGTAAATCACACCTCACTTTTGTTTAAGGTGTATCTTCTTTTCTCGATTTTGTTAAGTTGAGTAAACTCCAGTGAATGTCAATTAGAGAGCACATACTTGTTTCTTTCATTTTGAATTATTAAACTTCTTCAAAAATTGTGATTTTCAACCTATCTGAAAGTGGTTGGATATTCCTTATATTGCTTTCATTAGAAAACCTATTCATTGCTTGTTCGGGATAAGCCCATGTTTGTACTAAAGGAGGGTTTTACCGCATAAGTCAAACCAAAATTGTGATAGAACACTAAAAATGTAAATGAATCAGAAACATGTGGGTTATATTTCCATAAAAATATATGTGCATTTGAAAATTAAGGAGATTTCTTAGGGGAAGAAAATGTGTTTTAAATTGTATTAATTTCTGGGTATTTAAGAGTCCTCCACAGTCCTTTGCTCTGTCTTCTTATGAGACTCTTGATAATATTGTATATGCTCTCACAAAAGATTAACTTGAATATTATAAAATAATGTTTTTATAGATGAGGGAAGTGAGGCTCAGAGAGGTTAATTGACTTTTCTAATATGACACAAGTTGGTGACAGAGCTGGGACAGGTGTGTTTCAATCCAGTTAACACCAATTCTATGTCATTATATCTGGTTTGATTCTTCATTATATTTTTATATTTCAGGTTATATAATTTAACCCAGAGTAAATCAAGTTGACAGATTAATAAAAAAAATTATGATTGGGTCTTTCTGTACACAGAGTACAAAATATTAGTAAGTTATCTATGTCCATTAAAGCTGATTAGATTAGCATGAGAAGTAAGGTATTTTTAATCTTTTAGCAATCCTATCATTGTATTTTAAGTGGAAAGGAGTTCATATGACTTAGCTAAAAGCTTTGATTTTGACAGGCACATTCATCCAAATAGTATCATAATTTAATTCTTTTTGTCTCAAAATTACATGATGCTGAATGAGATATCTGAGGTCAATATACCTTATTTTTAATCTGCATAATCTTTGGAAATGGCCCACATTAATATCATACGTACTGTAAAGATATTTCAGTTTATCAATTTAATGACACTTTTTGCATTTTAAAACAGATGAATTAGATAAAGCACATAACAAATCTATGAAATTGATAATTGATTGAATAAAAAATTGATTGATTCAAAAAATTGAAATTGATTGAATAAAAAAATTTCATGAAAACCCAATACAAAAAATGTGTCATTTTATTTTCTTTAAGCCTATGTTAACTAAAGTACCATCTGAAACTATATGCTAAAACCTTTCCAATTTTTCTACACATGGGCTAGTTTATTACCAAAGCGTGTAAGAAATTTGAGCATTGTATAATAATTTTTATTTAATTTTTTTTGAAGACCAGACTCTTAACTTTTTTCAGAACACCACATCTTAATTCAAAAAGATCAAAGAGTTCTGAATTAAACCCAAGTTGAATAGTTTCTTCTAAAGTAATGCTATTTTGTCATTTTTGTTCTATTAGTCTATTTTGTAAAGTAATAATTTAAAAACTCATTACAAAGTAAAACCAAAAAAAGATAACCCTTTTTCCTTTTTATATAAGCTCGTATTTTTAAAAAATAATTATTAATAAAAATGGAATATTTTCTACTTGGTTTTTAAGGGTTTTTTCCTAATTAATTTTTAAACTGCTTAGGCAGTTTTGCTTAAAATCCTGCATTAATGCAGTGGCATTCAGAATAATTTGCCAAGCAGAAATTTTAGTATTACAGAAACAAATTTAGTAGATTTCATTGACCTTCTTTTGACTCACTAAAGGTGAAAGATAAAGATGGGCACCAGCCCTCTCCTGGGAGACATAATCAATATTGGATTTGCATGGGGGATTGCAGTCTCTCTTCCAAGAAATCAGAGGTAGGTAAAATAAAGGATTGGAGAAAGAGTTTCTCAGAGAAGAAAGAAGAAGGAATGATGCTTTCATGGGGGGAAAAAGCAGCTGTTGGAACAGTACAACCTCTGATTCAGTTCCTGCAAACTATCACAGCTACCTCATACATCAGTGAATGTAACATCTGCTTAATGCACAGTTGATAGGGTCAATAACTGCTGCAGTTGCTAATCTCAGTTATAATTTTTTTCAACTGTCTCTCTACATTTTCATTGTAATTCCCTGTCTCTTAGTATTTATAACCAGAATATGCAGGTTTTTGATGCAATTTTATTTTAATATAATTGGATGCCTCCATGCAGCATGCTTAGGGAATGCCTCCCAGAACTAGAATCAGGTGCCGGGAATTCTAGATAGCTGCAGGCTTCATCTCCCTGTGACATAGGGCCCCGGCTGCATAGTGCTAAAGCCATTGCCTGTCACAGCTGCACCTGCTTCTTTAAATGCTGTAGATTGCCAACTTTTCTGTCAGTACTTTCAGGAACTTTGTTCCCACATCTTTCACCTAGTGATCTCCCCATTTCTCCCCACTCCCAGATTCTAAGAAAAAATTATGGACTCAATTTGTTTGATTTGATATGATTTTAGAGTTTTAGCCTCCAAACTTCTTAGCAAGCCCAGCTGTTCCACTATTGAGCTCTCTAATTTTCTTTTTTCTTGAGGAAAATTAGCCCTGAGCTAACATCTGTGCCAATCTTCCTCCAGTTTGTATATGGGTCGCCACCTCAGCATGGCTGATGAGTGGTGTAGGTTTGTCCCTGGGATCCCAACCCATGGGCCTGGGCTGCTGAAGCAGAGCACGCTAAGCTTAACCACTACACCATGGGGCCAACCCCTCTAATTTTTTTTAATGTACTTAAATAAAAAATGTTCCACCACCTCTAGAGGTCTGATTCATGAATTAAGACATTCATGGCAGTAATAAGATGCAAGATCCTCATTGACTTGCTGAAAATTAGCCACATAGGTTAAAATCAAACCATATGAAAATAGGTAAATGAGACAAAGAAAAAAACAAATTTGGACTGCCATTCACTTTTGCTGATAAGTTTTAGCGTTTGAAATGAAACAGCGTATCTCTTACACCTCTGTGTCTGAGGAGACTCATTCATACTTTGGCTTTTGAAAATTTTGTGGTGTGAGTAAATTAATAAATATGATTATTTGTTTCACAATTTGAGTGTTAAAAGAACGCCAAATTAAGCACTGCTTTTGTTTGTTTGTTTCCAAAAACCATAGTAAATCAAAAACAGCTCTCTATCCTTTTCTGAAATTCTTTCCTCAAATTTTTGCACTCTACCTTCTTGCATACTACCTTCAACCCCAAAATATCTTTAAAAGATCATTTTATCCATCTGAGTCCACAATATAGCTGTACCAAGTAGTATGGGGCAAAATCATCATTTCTTATATGGATAAGTTCTTGGAATACAATTTTTATTTTTAACTTTGATAATTGATTTCCAGATTCATAAAAAGCCCCCCAATGAATGCATGTAAAAGAAATGGTAGTTTTGAAAACCACAGACACATTATGATGAACCATTGAAGTTTCATTATTTTTAAGTTTGAATTTTGTAGAAGTAAGTTTTTAAAAGTTAGGCCTTATGCCAAGACCGCTGGTTATTAATGTTTGTTAAGTCTTTCCTGTGAGGAAACCATGGAATTATAATTAGACTTTTTCGTTTTTTAATCTTACAAAATACCCGCCATATTCAGACTGGGTCACCACATAGAATGTGTAGGTTAGCTGTGTTTGCTAGCCCATTGCTGTTCAAATACTAAAAGCTATCAATTGAATGGTTATTTCTGGGGTGCAGGCAAAAGTCTGAGGAGGAATGACACAGTAAAATATTACCAGTCAATTAACAAGTGCATTGACAGCTGGCATTAAGGGAACAGCTAAGGAGAGCAGAGGCTCTGCCCTTCAGTAAGCTGTGATTGACAACAGAAATGAACACATCTATAATTACTACCAACTCTTCTTTAAAGATGAGCCATCCATCCCTTGAGACCTCAGGACTTGGCTTAGAAAGGCATTTTTGATCCTGATAACTAAGATAACTATTGACTCATTTATAGACACAATCTAATATGTATCTAATCTACATTTCTCTCATTTTTTAGAGCTATTTCCTTTTCACATTCAAGTCTTCAACCTGGTACTTGATGATCTCAGGCTGTTTCCTGGGGGCCCACAACCTCCTGCTGCAGCAAAACATCCAGGCTTTCTCAACCCAGATAATGCCTTAACTTACAGGGGAGACACAAGTCGTGGGCCTCCAGAAGTGACTCCAGGAGTGGAGTGTTTGCAATCAGCCAGCCAAAATTTTAGACTAAGTGGAGACAGAAATTGATGTGGCGTTGCCCATGATGTTTGTTTCTATGGGAAATTTTAATGTACTTGATCACTTTGTCCATGTTACATTTTTGAAACGTGTTTTTTTATATTTCATTAAAGTTATTTAACTACTAACCTCTGAAGTCTTTAAGGGCAAGACATAATAGGCCTTCAGTAAGTATTAGTGAGTGAATGAATGAATTAATGTCTGTGACCCTAAACTCTAAAATGCACCAAAATATCTTGTAAAAAGTTATTGAGGCTCTAACATTGCAGCAATTTGGCATATATACTGTAGTTTAAGCAGTCCCCTCAATATCAAACAGTGATGTAATTCCTGCTACTAAAAGTTTTTCTTTGTCAATTTCAAACAAGCCAAGATAGACTTCTTAAAAAGTAGATGAATTTTTATTCCTAGAATATATTCTAATATCAGACATAATTCCACCACAGAGCAACAAAGAAGGTTATTTATCTATCCATTTAAAAAATATATTACAGTCTTTTCACGACATTTCAAAGAGTTGAATGAGTTGCTGGTGTAAACATTTCCTCGTGGGAACTTTATACAGTCAAAAGAAAGGAAATGATTGATGGATGTGTGCTCCAGCTAATTGAAGTGGTTCTGACTCAACCAGATGTTTTCAGCTGAATCATGCCCACAGATGCGATTGCTTCATTATTCCTTAATCTAGGGATTACCCCGATTGGCTAGCCTGGTGACATTTGAGTGTTTCAAATAAGCTTGCCTCTCTTTTGTTACATACTTTGTAAAGAGCTCTTGTCTAAAGCTGGCCTATCTCCTGCCCTGGAAATGTTTTCAAGGAAGTTATCAAGGCTGTTTGTTTTTCCTGTTCTTGGATGTGGTCTTGCTGAGGTCAGAAGAATGGAACGAGAGTTGCCACAGATGACACCGGAGCTATTTCCACAGCTGGCTGCAGAGAGTGGGCAGTCCCTTACAGATGAGTTAGCATGTGGAGGTAGATGATATAAAACATCTGTCACAACGGGAAAAAGCAAAAACAATGTCCCTTTGAAGATTGCCTTTTAATGATGAGATGGGGGGTTCTGTCTCCATAATGTGAATGAAGGATGTAGTTGTTGGCGGGCAGATGGCTTCAGGCTTGCTCTTGCGTGAAAAAAAAGACAAAAGTATATGTTGAAAACCTCTGACTCAAGTCAAATCGCCTGATTTTGCTGAACATTCATTTCCCCACCTATTGCACATACAATCTTTGAGATAGGGAAGGAGTGCTAAAAGAAAACATTGGAAAAAACTAAGAGAAAAAAGGCATTCTGAATATTTTTCTCCTTTTTTCTCTTCTATTTTTCTCGCAATATTTTCTCTAAAGTTATATGAATAACTTTAATACTATAATATAATTTCAGTTGATGGTTAAAAGTTCAGAAAGAGCATTTCTGTCATAAGTTTGCTTTAATGTAGTATTTGCAGCCCCATGTTATTTTTTACAGAAGTTTTAAAAAGTAATATAAAAATTTTATATCATCAAGGCCACATGATGATAAACACTTCAAAATCTGAATACCAGTTAGTAGCCATAAGGTCGTATTTGTCTCCCTTCAAGCAGCAGTAGGAAATAATGAAAATATCTTAGTGAACTATTTTTAAGAGAATGATACTAGTTTAGTTTCTCCCCCCACCTACCATCAAAAATAAATTAAAAACAATGAAATCAGCATACATTTTTATTTCATAAATAAAATTGCTATAGAAAGAGAAATCTTGACAATGGTTTAATCTGATGGCAAATAAAGCTGAATATTAGCAAGCAATAAACCTCTAGATCTCCTGTTACATGACCAAAAGCGGTGTTACTGCCACTGCTAAACCCCAAACCACATTGTTGCAAACCGTAGAATCATTCTACTTCTGCCATCACCTGGCCAGCAGAATAGATGCCACCGGCCCCACCCAATTCTTATTCTAAACTGTCTTCCAAATCTTAGACCTTTGCAGATGCTTCTTATTAGCAGAAGTCACATATCAATATCTAACAGCAAGGGAGTCTAGGAAATGTAGAGTTTTTTCTAATCTATGTTGAAAAGGCAGGATTCACTTTGTGGGGAACTAATAACACGTGGAGAGGGTATTAAAAAGTAAACGTCTACAGCCGTGACTGACAGAGGGACATCACAGGAAATAACTGGATTAATGAGAGACAGGAAACTGTTCAACGCAGCTAGTAGCACTTGAAAGGATTTGGTGACATTTATGACGGAGCTTTGACCAGACTTGACTACAGGTTTGTTATGGATGGTGAGGGAGAAAGAGAAGGCAAGGATGACCAGGAATTTTCCATATAATTCCAAGAATCAAACAGAAGAGAAAGAATATGCTCTGAGGATAGAAAGAGACAGAAAATATTCAGAATGGGACATGGTTGTTTCGAAGTGCCTGATTCTAGAATTAATCAGCAGCTGGAAATTTGAGTCAGGAGTTCAGAAAAAAGGCCAAGACAACAAAGAACTTTTAAAAACTTTAATTGTTAAACTAATGTCAGCACTTTTCATTAATTCCATCAGGGCCTTAAGTAGTAGCAATATTTTGGAATTTTACTTCTAACACCATACTAACGTCTTATTTTTATCGTATGTATAAATACTGACTCTTACTACTTTATAAGGCATTTAGCATCTCTGCTAACAATTGGCTAGAATAGCTATTTCAAACTCATTGGTGAAGCAGAAGATATTATTTGGAAAGAATGGAGGTTTCATTTTGAGAGCTACCATGAAAATATGTCATAGGAAATGAAAGAAAATTTTTTCATAAAGGAAATTTTATGGATAAAGGCAGAAACTCTATGGAGACTGTTAAGGAGCTGAACTAAATATCACTGGCTGTGTGTGGTTATAACATATTTATGGGAGGCACATTAATGTTACTAAGATTATTTGAGGCTGCTTGGCCCTCAAATAGGAGCTGAAAAAAGAATTAACAAAATGATTAAGAAGCAAACTAAGAATCTCTTTAGAAGCTATGCTAGTAGAAAATTTACTCCAACTGAGCCCATGGCAAGACATAATAAATAGAGCAAAGCTTCTCAGACTTGACCTTGAATATGACTAACCTGGGAATCTTATTGAACTGCAGATTCTGATTCGGTGGGGCTGGGGCTGGACCTGAGATTCTGCAGTAAGCACCCAGATGATGCTATTGGGTCCTGGACCCACTTTGAGGAACAAAGTACTAGAGAGTTTAAGATCATTCTATTAAACTAAGAAAAAGCCACAATTACTGACGTAGTATTACTGTTTAGGAGAAAAGGCAATAAAATCTAACTGGAATAAAAAATGTAACTAAGATTCTGGAACAAATTCTACAACAAATAGGACACTGAGGAAGATAAACATAACGTTGACTTTCATCTCCTCTACTGAACTATTTTGTGTGTATTAATTGGCATCTTACAGGCCTCAGAATATATCTTGGTTGGATGCTAATATGTAAAGTTTTATCTTAGGATATGGTTATTCCACCAGGACATGCTTTACCTCGGCATTAGATTACAAAACGTTTCATCAATAAAGTGTATACTAAGCTTAAGATGTGTTAGTGACAATAGTACCAACAGCAAGTGTACTTTAAAGGGAGTAAATTAGTTTTTAATCAGATCATGACTTCAAACCTGTATCCTTAGGTCTAGTGGAGTTGCCAGCTCTAACCAGGCAAATTCCTAGAAATGTCTTATAGGAGAAAACAAATAGCCCAGAAATGTCCTCTGAGGGACCACAAAATAAAGTGCATTTTGTAGCAAATTGCAGGACAAGGAATAACTACCTTCTTAGTAATAGCCAGAATCAAGGTGCCTTGTGACATATTTAAGCAATTTGCGCTATAAACAATGGCCATAAGTAGGATAACAGGCAGCTTTTCTTCTTGATCACCCCTGTGGTTTGAGAAATGATTTCCCAGGCTCCTTCACCAATAGGATCCTGCAAGACCCTGAAAATGATTTGCAGCCGGGTTTTTTGGCCTATTTGTCAGTAAGAAGAAGTTTTTAATGAGAACCTTTATGACAGCTCACAATCCTGAGTGCTAGTTAAAGGAAGATAAACATTTCGCCAGACAAACGATGCTGCCCATAAATATTCACAAATCTGCTGGGAACCCTGTTTGTCTTATCATTTGGAAGAAGACTGGCCTGGAATCCTGCTTCTGACGTGCCTTTTTAAACTTTCTGTATGTTGAAAATCTACTTGGAGGTACAGAAAGTGATTGCTGTATAAGTGAATAAAGCATTTCTTCTCCTATCACGTGGCAAGATTTGACAAGAATCTTAGGCAGATATATGGCTATTAAAATAGTTTGTGACACAGGAAAGCCCCAATAAAAAAGCTTACACTGCATTTGTGGCAGTGCGCTTTGGCTGTGATATAAAGGAAATTTTGCAGCATTTAATTGGGTATATTTATAGTAATTCTTCCGTAGAATGGAAATCGTGTAGTGAACTCCAACATTACAGTTCCCTGGGGAGAGTATGGCTCTTAGAAGCCCAGGAATTCTCATACTAAATTACAACAATGTCAAGCTGGCAGTGGTCAGACAGGGGCACTTTCAAAGGAGAACAGAGTAGTTGAATGGATGGATTTTTAAGACCATCCTGTTGTCCAGTCAAGAGAGTGCTTCTGTTATTTCAAGTGAATTCTCTAGTCCAGTTTGAGTATGGAGTTTCTGTGAATGTTTTGCATCCTTTTAAAGTCATGAAAGCCCTGGCTGCTGAGCAAGTGCCACTCACTCATTAGTCACTCAGCACCATTACAACTTGTTTCATGATAGACGCTGTGCTAGGCTTTAGCCCCATTAGAAAACAAATAAAGCATCGTGAATGACACAGTGAACTTAGAATTCAGAGGAGAAGTAAAGTATGATCATGATCAAGGTGTGTGCCAAATGTTATGAGAGAAGAGAGGAGCAAATGACCAACAACCTAGATGAGACTCAGGAGATGTTCCCCAGAGGGTAGCATTTGATAAAAATCTGAGAGCCCACATGCAAACTTGCTGTAGATGCCCAGTGCTCCTGGCAAAGACACCACAAGTGAGAGAGCAAGATGGGTCAGAGAAGGAAGAGTAGTTCAGTGTGGTGGGAGGAGGGCTTCGTGTGGATCGTCTCGGGGGATTAGAAGGAAGAGTAAATTGGAAGCCATGTGATCTTTATAGAGCATGGATACTATGCTAAAAAGGCCATCCTGAACCTACCTGTAGGAGCCTTCTTTTGGGCAGAAATCATGTGGAAATATAGAAGGAAGGCACTTTCTCATGGGTGACCCCACTGCTCATTCAATCTAAGTGGCTTCTGAATACTACAAGCAGGAATGAGAAATATTTTGATCCCATCATTGAGTTGTCCTGTTTACCCTTATACTCCTCCAGTACATTAACTTACAGCAGCCATTGGCTTAACAGTGCCAATGTCCTAAACATAGGACATTTCCACTATAAATAATAATTTTCAAGATGCTAACTCAGCTGTAAAAATTCTATCCAGGCTGTGCTTTGGTAGAGAAAGCAGTTTAACATGGTTTTGCTTATATCCCCTCTTGGAACAAAAAAATAAAAGGAAAATTGTTTATGCTCATCTTTAAAGTGATATGCATATTTGGGGGTTATTGTTGTGAAGGTAGGAAAATGTTTAGAAGCTGTTCTCCTTATCTTCTATATCATTTTTTATTATGTAATTTATTTGTTGATAGATAGCAAGGGTTTGCTTTGTATCTTAAAAGTAGGGAAGATGGTGAAATATATTGTGATTAGCTCATTCATTTGATAAGTGTCATAGCTTATGAGCTTCTAATTGTTATTTATTTTTTTCTAAAATCTCTTTAAACTGATTTTGGAAGTGTACAATACATCTGTGTGAGGAGGACGTATACCACAGGAGGCCTGCAAAATGAAGACAAAGGGCTTAGGTTGCACCATTAGTTTTTCCACACAAATGCTGTGATTCCTCACGTCATCTATACCACACCACATGGATTTTTATGGCACGCATGTTTGTGTGTGGTAGAGGATCCCTAGTTGAGAGCCACACAATGATTACATGATTGGAATGGGAGGCCTATGAACACAAATTCACCCTTTGTGACTGAATCCATAAGAAACTCA